TTTCTCTCTCATCGATGTTTCTGACTCTCTATCCCTCTCCCTTCCTCTCTGTAAAAAATCAATAAAAATATATTTTTAAAAAAAAGAAATATCAATGATGAGAGAGAATCATTGATCAGCTGCCTCCTGCACGCCCCCTTCTGGGGATCGAGCCCACAACCCAGGCATGTGCCCTTACTGGAATCAAACCTGGGACCCTTCAGTCCTCAGGCCAACACTCTATTCTCTGAGCCAAACCAGCTAGGGCAGTACAAGTTTGCTAAGCAGATGAAACATGCAAGGTTGTCAGAGCCAGTGGACAGTGATCAAGGCCTCTGCCAGACAGAAGGTCTGGTGCAAAGTGGGGAGTGGCCTGAGGGACATGGCATGGTCAACAGGAGCAATCCTGAAGGACCTGGCGTGCAGTTTGGACTATAACCGGAGGGCAGTGAGAGGCTTTGAGCAGGGGAGGACGGGATCAGCTTGTGGCACTGAAAAGGGCAAGAATGGAGCCCTGGAGGCAAAGGAGGATGGAGCCAGGGAAGACAAGACCTGAGAAGGGGCAGAGGGTATGGAGGGTAGGGCGTGGGAGTAGGGGTGAGCAGATACCAGAGCCAGCCGTAACTTAGGTTGGATGAACAGGACTTAAGTGTAGAACAGAGGTGACAGGAGAATAAGGGGACTACAATGAAACTCAGGTCTGGCCAGAGCAGTAGGTGGACAGTTAGGCTGTCTCTACTGGGAGGAGGCTCGTGTGTGTGAGGGGGTTGGAGGGACTGGAGGGCTATTTTGCACACAGAAAGATCAAAAAGGCCTTAATGAGCCAAGCCAGTAGCTCAGTGATTGAGCATTGACCCATGAACCAGGAGGTCATGGTTCAATTCCCAGTCAGGGCACATGCCCAGGTTTTGGGCTCCATGCCCAGTGGGGGTGGGGGCATGCAGGAGGCAGCCAATCAATGATTCTCTCTCATCATTGATGTTTCTATCTCTTCCTCTCCCTTCCTCTCTGAAATCAATAAACATAAATAATTAAAATGTTTTTTTTAAAGAGAAGATAAGGAATAAAAGTGGGGAATGTCTTTTTAAAAAAGTCTTAATGAGACTATTCAGGGGGACATGCAGGAGGCAGAAGGAGAGTAGGCTAGCTGCTCACTTCTGACTGAAGCTGAGGGACTGGAACCTTTCTAGTGGGATGAGCAGATGCTGGAACAGACAGACAGAGCCCTGAGGACCATGGCCCTCAGTAAAGGGCAGCCTGGAGGGCTCTAAGTAGCTGGAGAGGGAAGAAGCTGACCAGGAAAGAAGAGGATATAGAGCAAAGGGGATGTTGGGGGGGTGTCTATGTCGGATGAGAACCCAAATGTTACCCTCAGGCCTCAGCAATGAGTGGTGGGTCCTTGATGACCTTGTACAGAGCTGCTG